TGTTGCTCTATTTGTTTAATCCCCTAAGATTTCCTCTCAGTTGCTAATGGAGACGGCGGACATACACGATTGCACCGTGTTCAACTCTTTGTGGCCTCGACTTTCGAAGGACCTCTCCGATGACATGCTCACACATTTTTCAGCCAACAATGTTCGGTATAAGATAAAGTCACTTAAGAACTAGGAGCTACTACCATGCATTTTGTGTGTACTTGTTGTAGCTTGTTGTTCGTGTGCTCGACAAGGGAGGGATTGTCATGGTCAACCGCATTTACTAGGCCACAGTTGGAGAGATAGTTTTCCTTCTCAAACAAAATTGCTCCTTTGTTGGGGAGGTGATTTTACATTTTCTTATTACTTTGATTATTTGTATTAGTTTTATTATGTGTTAAATTATCTCATTTTGGTATTTTGTGGACCATTTGGAAATGTGTAAACTTAGATTTTACTACTTATCTTTTTTATGGAGCAATTCGGCTTAAGTAAGTGAAACATAAATTTTATTACTTATCTTTTTTATTAGGTGTCAAATTATCTCGTTTTGGTGTAGTGAAGCATGAATTTCATCACAAGGATAAAGTTTATTATCTTTGTTTCTGCCAAATGTCATTGACTTAAGTAAAACGTTGGTAATTATGTAAAGTGTCAGTTAAATACTTGTTATGAGTTCATGTTTAAGGTGTTAAATTAACACAAGCAATTTTTAGAGTAAATAGTTTATCAAGTCGAATATATATTTTAGTTATATTTTTTAATCAATTTCAAGATGGTTAATTAGTAGTTCGAGGCAATAGTAATTTTTTTAAAAGGAAGCGGACTACGAATACTCCTTCCGCTCTTTTGACATGCCGTGGTACAACAACAGTAAGAGGTGTTTCACATTCATGATGCAGCAGACATTGACCTTGGAGATGGCCCACTTGGCTCATCCATTCATCAGCCGAGCATTGTTGATGACCCCGAACCAGGACAACCCGACGAAGTGGACATGGATGTGGTCGAGGTTTACATGGATGCTGTAGAGTGTTGAGGTTGGGGTCGAAGTGAATGTCGTCGTTGACGTGGAAGATCAAGATATTGAATATTTGTTGGCCTCGAACATAATGAGGTTATCGATGTTGATGCCACCAATGCACCAAAAGTCATTGTGATGGGCTCGAATAATGAATAAAGCATCGAGTCTGACTATGACATTTGGTTTGCTTGTCTGTTGCCAAAAAAAGGCCTTTTGATATTTAAATGTTTATTTTAGGACAAGTATGTAGCCTAAACATGATTATCAATGTGTTTGTTTTGGTTATGACTATTAATTATGTANTCCCTTTGGGATTATGGTCAGCAACTATGACAATTTTTTTTGGATACATGACTAGTTCCTTTTGTCAAATATTTAAATTGGGTGTTTCAAAAAACAAATATTGTGGAAGTGCATGCCTACCAAAGTTTGTAAACATGGATTGTTCCCAAAAAAAGCAAAATAAAATTTAAAATAAACCATGTAGGTGTAGTAGATGCTGAGGTAAAACATACACGATTGGAAATTTGAAGGCATACCAATCGAAATTGCAATCCAACAAAGGATACATAAGACAATAATTTAAGTCATACAATCCAAAATAGAAACCTAAATAGTTGTTTTATGATAACAAAAAACACCAAGCATGCAAATAGATAAGTAGACAGACATGAAGACAAGATTATAAGTGAAACTGAATGCTCAAGCGTGTGGGTCACTGGAGGATCCCTTGTAAGAAACTGACCTAAGCTTCCGAGGAGGACGTGAAATGCACAACGGGGTTTTACCCCCAACCCTTTGAATGGGACATGGATAGTTGTGTTAACTGAGCATTTCGAAGACGCATGACGTGATGACACATTTCCATTAGAAGTTTGATTAAGTACATTGTTGCGTGATGTGTCATACACGACATTTGATCAGTTTGGCTGCTCCAGCTCATACCCATCATTGGTAGAATTTCGGTCCAACGGCGGGCTTGGAGTCGAAGCATAAACATCACCAAAGAAATAACATAGCACACCCCATCGCGAGTCTCCCGAATGTTGATAGGTCACACTAAAAGGCTCTGACTTTTTATATGTCAACCACAGACGCAGCCCCCAAAAGAAAAAAATAAAATTAAACAATATTTATAATTGGACAATCGAAATGATGAAATATGGTTATCTTCTATATAAATACGCTTAAACGAAATTACAATCGATGCGGAGATCAATGCTTAAGCGAAGATTCTTTTTTTGTAACGTTAAATTACTCAATACCTCGATGATGTCATCCCAAACCGCAACCGGTGCAGTCAATACGTTGGAGAGGACACAATGACGTAAACCATGTTTACAAAGCATCCAAGTAAAAACCGTGTAACGCTTCAAAATGAAATCAAAATGCTCATCGATCTCATCAACCAAAAAGTTTGCATCGAGTTGGACTTTCAGTTGACGCCAACAAAATTGGATGACATAGATTGGGGGGCGTCCATGCATTCAGTTACCAACAACATGACATTCTATTAGGAGGTCCACGAACAAATTGTCGACCGCTTTTGTCCAAAAGGCATCGTATATGCATTGTTCTTGTGTCACTTGTCTACCAACAACTTGTATTGTTAAATAACACGAGAATATACGTAACTACATTGAGCCATAGTAGGATACAAATTATTTGGTTAAAATAAAAATAAGTACAAACTGAAAAATATTGTATTCAAACAAAGCATATAAAATGAACCATTATAAAATGAACCACGTATTGACAAGCTCGAGGTAGTATGTTCAATTTTAACAATAATCTTACAAAATTTTACATATCTAACTTTAATGTTGTAATTTTGTAGTATGCTTTGCAAACATATAAAATGAACCATTATATAAAAATGTTCAACCAAATTTAACTATATAATTTTCTTATTATTTTTATTTTAATTTAATTCATCAAACAATCATTTTTTCAATGAAATTAAAATATTTTACAAAATTAAAACAAGAATAATTATTATAATGGTCCATTACAATTAAAATATTTTTATAATAGTTCATTAAAATTAGTGGTTCATTTTATAAAATTAAACATACTACAAAATTATAATATTAAAATCAAGCATATAATTTATTTTTTTTGTTAAATTCTTCAGGAGAAGGGAAAATAAAAATAAAAATTGACAAGCTCATAATATTTGTTAGAACAAGCTCCAACAAACAACATTACAAATTAAACATAACATTCTTATAAGTGTTTGGTAAATAGCTGATTGTATCAGCGGATAGCAGATTATATTAGCTGATTTGACCAGCAGATTGCATTAGCGGTTTTTAAAGAAGTGTTTGGTAAATAGCTGAAAGCTTATAGCTGTTTGACATTGCAAAATGACCAATAAGGACATTTTATTATTTAGGGTGTATTCTTTTAATAATAATATATTAAAACATTTAATATTCTTTAGTTGATAATTTATAAATATATTATTATTTTTTTAATTTACTAACACTTGATGAAGAAGATATGAATTTTACATTTTTTTAGATAAATCAATCATATGGATGACATATTATTATTTATTAGCACCATAAACCAATGTAGATTGTAAAATAAATAAGACAAATTAAATAGATTGTGAATCCTCTATCCCTAAAACGCTGCTCTAATGAGCTTTTTCTAAATTAGAGTTTTGGGCACAAAAAGCTTATCAAATAAGCTATTTACCAAACAAGATCAATAGCGGATTTGACGGGTCAAACCTCTCAATTAAGTACAATTTGCTAGTTTATCTTCAATCTGTTATCTATCAAACGGGGCCATCTTCTCTCTTAATATTAACTAGTGAGAATCCCGTGTGATGCACGGGGGTTTTATACCTTCAAATATTTTTGCAAAACTTTATTTTAATAATATATTTGCCCGTTGACCCATTAATATTCATATAAATAATATTTTAACATATAAATTTATTTTTTAATACAGAAAAAATAATAATTTTACATATATTGGTTCATCATAATACTCAAATATTATTTTATTCAAGAATTTATTATCGCATAATGTCATTATTATTTATAACTTTATAGAAGCAATACTCCTTTTTAATAATATATAATTTCTTATCTTTCTATTTTTGGTATAATGTCATTTTATTTTGTCTTTAGAATTATTCTGTTTAAATATATTCATAATTGTTCATACTTTTGTTACATTATTAATTCTTATATTCTTCTTTCAATATTGTATGAATACATTCGAGAAACACACAAATATTCACACGGAGATTTCAAAAAGATTCAAATACGACCATCATCATTGAGAAGGTAAAAAAAAATACAGTAGCGAGTATTAATCCATCAAGTTATTTATATATTACGTGGTTATGCTTATATTTTACTATAATATAATCAATGATTTGAGTTACATTGAAATGGACTTTGGATTGTTGATTTTTCACTATGCGTGCTGCACTTTTTTATTGAATTATTTCTTTAAGCTTGAGCTATTTGGTCTCTGTCCATTACTCAATAACTTTCTTTTGATAAAACTGTGTGTTGATTATGCTTCTTTTTACAAATGAGTCGTCCGAGTATGCTGAAACTTCATTGTCCGCTACATTGAAAACATGAACTGTGTTAGAAAAACTTCATAAAAAAAAAAGTATAAGTTTATATATTGCCCAATAAAGAGAGTCTCTAATCAGTAGTATAAGTATGATAACAGTAGTTGGACAATATATATATTGTATGGTGATAAGTAATATGACTGATACGGTTCATAATTTGTTTGTGATTTACGATTAGCTATCTATAAATATATGATTCATAAATATATATCTCGATATTTTAGGTACAAATATATGATATATATGTACAGATATGTGATATGAATATCTTGAGATACAAAAGAATTTTTTATGTGATTTATTACATTAATAAATCAGCCGCAATTAGCTAAATTGTACCTTGAAAACATACCATAAAATGTTTAAATAGTTTCCAGATTTAGTAAACAATATTTTTTTGACGAGATATAGTTACTGTTTAAAAAATAATCAAACATTTTTATATATATAGACTTAATCTTATCTAAGAAAGACCCCAAATGGAGAAAATAAAATCGACAAAAATGAGATTCTTTATAAAATCAAAAAAAATGAGAATCTTCTTAAAATATAACTATAAAGTCACCTGCTCATATTTAGACTTTTCATTTTAATTGTTGTTGTTTTTTTCTTTTTTTGTTTTTGTTTTCACTAGCGTGTAGCCCGTGCGATGCACGGGTAAACAATATTAACTTATAATTATAATTAAGATATAGAGTTAATATGTGACATATAATTTATCGTATATCAGTTGTAAACAATATTTAATTATCTTGTATAAAATAACACAAAAAATATATGTTTAGAATATTAAAAACACCTAAAATATTATATAATATAACGTATGTAAAGTATCTAAAATTTTATATATTATTATTGAAAGATGTGATTCACCTAAAATTTTTCTAAACTATTTTATAAATAAAACATGTCTAAAATTATTTAAAAAAATCTTGTCTATAATATATTATTCAATTTCCAGAAGATGATGATAACTATAAGTTTGAATTTTAGAATCCACGTGAGTATTATTTTTTAGATTCGTGTACTATACAATTATTCATTATGTTAATTTTCTGTGAACTTCATATTGATTTATTGATTTCATTTTATTTTCATACAAAGCTGATCGTCTCATTTTGTTTTACCATATTTTTGTGGAGATTTAACAAAGTCGATTGTATTTATAAAATGATTTTGGAGATCAACATACAATTTATAATGGAGTTTTCAAAATTGTGTGCTATTAACAAATAATATATTATCATTAATTTTTTTATTTTCAATGCACAATTATTGAGACTGAGAATTTGAAAATTATTTTACCTTTTATTTCATTTTATTTTCATACAAAGCTGATCGTCTCATTTTGTTTTACCATATTTTTGTGGAGATTTAACAAAGTCGATTGTATTTATAAAATGATTTTGGAGATCAACATACAATTTATAATGGAGTTTTCAAAATTGTGTGCTATTAACAAATAATATATTATCATTAATTTTTTTATTTTCAATGCACAATTATTGGGACTGAGAATTTGAAAATTATTTTACCTTTTGAAACCGAGTATATAAAAAACAATAGATTGATAAACAAAGTATTGATAAACATTACAAAGTGATATTTTAAACACTACAAAGTATTCAGAAAAAACAATATATTATCACACGTTCCAAATGAAAAAAATTTGATGATTAGTGGAAAATGATATTTAAAGAATAGCATTCAATATTTTTTTTGAAAGGAATAAATATAAAGGCTGATATTCTAAAATTTTTATTATCTTTTGAATTGAGATTTTATAAATATACAAACTGAGATTTTAATATTCTTCGTTGTTTCTTAAAAAAAAAAAAAAATGCACACTTGATAGATCTTAGTTTAAATTTTTAAATAATAAACAAATTAAAGCCTAAAATTTAATGTAACATTTAATGTTGCATGATTTTTTAAAGATAAAAATAATAATAAAATTTATTATTTATAAGTTGCATTAAATTCTTTTCTATTCTTTTGCTACTATTTTTGTTAAATGATAATTCTTATTATATATATAGATATATATAGATTTGTTGTTTAAACATGTGTAAACCTGCAACTTCTTTAGCCCAATTAATATTTTGACAATATACAGTTTGAGGATTCCATTTCCCTGGAATAAAAAAAGTATAACTAAAAAAATCTAAAAATGGCATAAGACTTTCAAATCAAACCAACAAAGTAAAAACTTAAATGCAGCCCACATGCTACTGTAGGGCAAAAATGGCTCTTCCCCCGCTTAGATTAATCTCTTCGTCTAGATTCTAGGGTTTCCCTTTCTCTCTCCCCCTCGTGAGAACATCGCCTCTACAATTTGTCCGCTTACACACTCTCCTCTACTTACATTTGTAGCCAGTACACATATGTACTCAATATATCACTGGTTGTTTATCTGTATTGTTTTCTTGTTCGATATGTTCTTTTCATCTGCTACATAGATTTTTGATTCGAGAGTAAGAAATTAATGGCGGCGAAGGAATTAGAGCAAACCGATAGCGATCTCTTCAATAAGGAAGAGAATGCCGAGAACCCCCTTGAACCGGATTCATTGGAGGAAAAAAATCACGATAAAGATTTGAAATTGGACTCCACTATGGACATCTCTGGAAAAATTTTGGATTTTCCTCTGATTAATGGCGAAGATAGCCCAGTAGAGGAGGTGTACATGTACAAGAATGAGTTGAATTTAATCCCGAGGGACGTGGGGAGGTTTAAGGGTTTGAAAACCCTAAAATTCTTCTCGAACCAATTGAATCTGTTTTCCCAGGAGTTTGGTAACCTGGGTGGCTTGGAGCACCTGCAATTAAAGGTGGCGGCACTTGGAGTGAACGGGTTGGAGTTGAGTAAATTGAGGAACTTGAAAGAGCTGGAGCTTAGTAGAGTACCTCCTAAGCCCTCTGCGTTCCCGATTTTGAGTGAGATTGCTGGGCTCAAGTGTTTGACGAGGCTCTCTGTTTGTCACTTCTCGATAAGGTAATTGGTCTAGTCCTCGCTCTGCTTTCAATATATCATGTTTATATGATTTTACTGTTCTTGTTATGTGAAAAAGTACTATGTGTGGAATTGTAAAGTCAGTTAAGTGTTTGGAACAGCTGCAGGAGTAGATTTTTATGTGGGATTTATATTCAATGAGCTGTGAAAATGTTGGCAACTAGCTCAAATGGGACTTAACCTGCCTCATTCTGGCATGATTATATCTATTTGGGACCGTGTAATTTAGGCATGATAATATTATTGGGACCTTGCAATTTATTCTTATGTAAGTTCCTCGTGTTGATGTCTATAATGAGTTAGGAAAGTGTCCTAAGTTTGGTTGCTGGTGTAAGTGACATAATGAGGAATATATATATGCTTATTCTATAACATATAGCTATAAGATTTCTTATTCCTAAGTTTGCATTAATACAAGAACAGTACACGCTGTGGATATTTGGGTGGATAGTTACTGGTAACTGTAACTTCTTTGGTATAATATTGTAACACAAAGCATAAATATATCTGCAAGCCACCCAATTCGTCATCTCAAAAGAAAACTTTATTTTCTATGTAAAGGTGGCACCTGTTATGTGCTGCTTCCTCTTTATCATAATTTAATGGGTCGTAATCAGAGATATCTATCCGTTACAAACATGTGGCAAAGATTAAGGGATTTATGTAATCTTTCAAAAACATGACTTGTGGTTATGGCTCAAGTAAAGACCTCAAATGGAAACTACAGGCGCTTTATCCCTTTATTATTGCTATTATGCTTATTCTTTCCTCTCTCTTTCTCTCTCGCTTTTATTCGTTTCTCCCTTTTGCATTCAAGTTTTATCGAACCTGCAATTAGAAATTTTGGTTTTACCTCTGAGCTTTTTAATGAGATTCAACTTCATTCATTTTGTTTCTGTGATTTCTACCTAATTTAATTAAAAACTTTTAGCTGTTTTGCATTGAGTTAGTTATAATTTTTATATGTTGGTAAGTTGCAGTAACAATTCGTTCATTTTTTGGATTGAAACTATAAGACATCTTCAAATTCTGTTGTTTGTGCAACTTTTCCTAGAACCACTTTACTGTCCAATAGATCTGATGACAGGAATTAAATCTGATGAATTAATTTGAGTGTTTTGTCATTGTTCTTTTCTTTAAATAAATCAGGTAGAAATTGCAGTAGCTATTTGCGAATTTAACTAAATCCTCTAAAAAAATAAAAGTCAGCAAAAATGCAATTCAAGTGAAATTTAAGTGCCAAAAAAAAAAAAACTAAGAGGAAGCCATTATGGTCATTTAAAGGTTCAATTGAATAAGAAGTACCATTTGTGGTCTTTGTCAAAACTTGTCAGACTGTCTTCTTGCTTAAAACTGTTTAATCTGAAACGGCCATAGCGGGAAAATTTTTCTAAACTAAAAGCGTGAAATCAGCCTTTTTTGTGTGCGGTTGGATATATTATAGAAAATATGCTTGAGTGCTATTTTAAAAAGTGTATTGATAAAGTGAGGAAGAATGTGAGATGAATGAATAGTGTAATTTTTTCTTAAAACTTGTAGTGGGATCAAAATGTCTTCTTTTGACACCACTCTCTCGTTTGTTTCTTTGTGTATTCACTGTATTGCCAGCATCTTTCTTGATAGAGTTGGTTCAACTCATTGCTGAAGCCTTTCTGAAGTCATGATTGATGTGTTTGTTGAACAAAAAGCTCCAGTTATAGACTGGGCTTATTTGGTTGAGGTGTTAATTGTAATCATTTATTGCTTGCAATGAATTGCGACTGCATGGTCAATTTTTAAGGAGTAATTTCCTTTCATTTAAGTCAACCCGGCACACCTTTCTTTAGGGGTGATTCCATGTTTGGACTTTGGAATCCAAGATCCAATATTTGAAACATCAAGTACCATTGGAGTAGGAAATGGTTCAAGTCAAGCTTACTGTCCCTACGGGGTGAGATTAACACATTTTATGTTGCTGGATATTCCATTTTCAAACATAAAAAAATCCGATAGCTCCTGAATTCTGTATATAGTTTTGGAGATAGTTGAATTGTTAATGTAAATTCCTTAATACATAACGTAAGATATAAAAAATTCAGTGTGAATTAAGCATTTATTTTGTGATTTAGTTTGTAGGACACCAAAACTTATGTGCATTTTTTTTTTTCTGCAGATACCTACCTCCCGAAATTGGCTGTCTTGATAAGTTGGAATACTTGGATCTTTCTTTTAATAAGATGAGGAGCTTACCAAATGAAATCACTTTGTTGAAATTATTGAGATCACTGAAGGTTGCCAATAATAAATTAATTGATCTACCTTTGCATCTTTCACGCCTGCAAAAGTTGGATAACTTGGATCTATCAAATAACCGGTTGACATCCTTGGAGTGCTTAGATCTTGAATCCATGCATAACCTTCGGATACTTAATCTTCAGGTATATACCTGTGGAGATTGGAGTTTTTGTTTTTTGGTATAGATTCTTTTTTGTTTTTATTTTGTAATTTTCATTGCCTATTTATTGTATAATATTAGCTTGATATGATTTCGTGGTTTAATGGTTTTCATTTCTTTCTTTTCCCATTGATACTTATTGAAGCATAATCAACTAAGTAGATGTCTAATACCTTCATGGATATGCTGCACTATGGAGGCGAATGTAAGAGACCTACTCAATGATGAGTCTACGGAGATGGATGTTAATGAAGATGTCATAGAGATTCATGGTACTCTTTGTAATGAAGTCACCCTATTTCCCCATCTCAACCCTCACTTCCACACACAACCCTTGCATTTTATGAATTCCTATTATATGTGGTTAGGACCTTGTTGGAACTTTTCATGGCATGAAAACTAAACATTATGCTGTAATACGATATATGTGATGCTATTTTTGTCATGTACAATGCCGCTCTATTGTTACAAATTTGACTGCCTTTTTCTTTTTATACTATTTATTTGATTAGCATTATCTGTGACTTATAATAGCATCACAAATAATATCGTATTATAGCATACTGCGTTGTTCTTCGTCATGAAATATTTATGGTTCTATTCTTTTCGTACATTTACATGTATACATGTATATATGTTTGGATATAGTACTTCGAGAGGCTTAATATCTTGACTTGTTCCAGGGTCTTCTGTTGCACGATCAAGTAATATAAGTGGATTATTGCCTAATAGTCGTCGGTGTTTAGCTACACGCAGGCCAGAAGGATGGAAACGTCGGTATAATATGCGAACAAAAGCACAAGGGGAGAGGTCAAATAATAGCAAAAAGTGGAAAGTTGATACTGCAGCACAAATATCATCAGACAAATGTCTGACTTGTAAAGTCTCTCCCCGTAGTGATAATGCCCCATCAAAAGCTTTATCAGTAGAAGGTGAGAGGCATGAGAACTCACTCACTAGTCCCGCGGATGAGAATATTAGTGCGACTAAAGAGTCTGAAAGTGGATGTTCATGTTTTGTGGCTGACTCTGATGGGATGTCCAAGGAGATTGAGGATGATAATTCCGGGCATAAAGCAAAATCGGACTCTCTTTCTGATGATGGTGTGGTACTAGATGGAAGTTCATCTTCTAAATCATCTACTTGTGTTTCAAAGTCAAAAAGGCATTCTGAGAAGGATCTTGATAATCCCAAGCCCACTAAATCTCAAAGGCCAACCAATGATCCCTCATATTTATCATGCCAATATAGTGAAAGATCATTCTGCGGGATTGCAGATTATTTACCCGACGGCTTCTATGATGCTGGGCGAGATCGACCTTTTATGCCACTTGGCAGCTATGAGCAAAATCTGCACATGAACTTGCGGGAGGTTGTTCTTCTTGATCGGCAAGTGTTTCCCCCCCATCGCTACTAGCCTTTATTATTGAACTGAATGTCTTACTGTCACATAGTGGGATGCATTGGGATGAAGGTCCTCAAGATAGATTTATAATTATGTCAATGGCTATGAAGATGTTGTAATAATCTTAATTTGAATTTTTCTTCAGGGAATTGGATGAAGAGTTAGATGCCATACTGTTGCGTGCTCGAGCATTCTTGTCTCGATTTAAGCATATGACCAATTCCATATATGGGCATACGGAGGTTGCAATAGATAATTTGCAGATAGCTTCATTGCTTGCTCTGTTTGTATCGGATCATTTTGGAGGAAGTGATAAAAGTTCTGTTCTTCAGAGGACCAGAAAAGCTATTTTGGGTTCGAACCATATGAAACCTTTTGTTTGTACATGCACAACTGGAATCATTAGCGATAGGGATAAGGTCTATGAGCTGGGTGTGGACATTGAAGAAGATGTTATTTTTCATGATATCTGTGAGAAGTCTATTAAATCTGTGAAAGAGAGGCGCAATTCTATTATCGTTCCTATTGGGGGTATGCAGTTTGGTGTTTGCAGGCATAGATCATTGCTGATGAAGGTACATGCTACACTAAATACATTGCTTTCAGTTGAATGAATATCTGTATCTTATAAACTGAATTTCCTTTTTTTTTTTTCCAGTATCTGTGTGATCGAATGGAACCTCGAATTCCTTGTGAGCTTGTCAGGGGTTACTTGGATTTCTCTCCTCATGCATGGAATGTAATTGTTATGGAAAGGGGTGACTCGTCGTCCCGTATGATAGTTGATGCATGCCATCCCCATGACATCAGAGAAGAAACTGACCCCGAGTATTTTTGCAGGTTAGAAAAATTTCAAATTACGTAATTACTAAATTGGATTGCTTTGTTTGGGTTGATGTGTTACTTTACCTTTATCTTGTATTTCTGGTGAAGTGCTTTTTTTATCCAATTGTAAATATGATGTGAGATTTTGGTTTCACGACATGTATGTTGTGACTTCTTTCCTTCTCCAAAATAACATATTTATGAAGTTTGGCTTATCACTTAGTGGAAATTGGCAATTTTTTAAATTTTGTAATGCATGCCACTCATTGCAGGTATATCCCCTTGAGCCGTATGAGTGACACTTTTGTCACTGATCCTGATGCTAGTCCTAACTGTTCGTTTCCCTCACTATCTTCATGTGATGAAATTGTGAAAGTGGGATCAACATCCATGATGCGCTGCAATATTAGGGAACTTGAGGCTGCAGTGAAGGTATTTTTTTCTCGTTTAATCTTCTTGTACCAAGATGTCCATTAAAATATGACTTCAGAAGTTTTCTGTTTTCTTGATGTTTGTCTGCCCCTTGTTCTTATGCTGTATTTTTTAACTTTATTTTTCATGAAAATTTATCAGTGGTGTATGAGTTTGTGGCCAATTGGCTTTTGTTTTGATTAAGGCTAGTGTTTCAATTCTCTTTGTACTAGTCTAATTATGTTAAAATGCAATTACCTCCCAGAAAGTACAAATGCCATCTTGGAATTTGTTTCTTTTACAGAAACTGTTTCCACAAGAGGGGTTCAAACAGATCTTTTTTTTTTTGGTGGGATTGTAATCAGTATATATCTCAGAGGTAAGTTAGGATATCTCTGATAAGCTGTGTGCTCTTGCGTTGCAGGTCCGAACCATGGAAGTGAGTGGGGCTTCTGCCAATGAAGTCCGGAACTTTGAGTTCAGTTGTTTAGGGGAAGTGAGGATGTTGAGTTCCATAAAACATTCATGCATTGTAGAATTTTATGGCCATCGGATCTCGTCCAAGTGGTCTGCGACTCCTGATGGAAATCCTGGCTGCCGTACTTTAGAGTCAGCTATATTGATGGAGTATATAAAAGGAGGCTCCCTGAAGGTACAAAGCTTTCTAGCTCTCAATCATCTTATAGCATATTCGCCACATTATTTTATATTTTGGTCCAATTTTTCAGGACTATATGGAGAAATTATCAGGTGCTGGTGAGAAGCATGTTGCCCCTGACCTGGCATTGACTATTGCCAGGGACGTGGCTTTTGCGCTGTCCGAGTTGCATTCGAGAGACATTATTCACCGTGACGTGAAAAGCGAGAACATTTTGGTGGATCTCGAGAGGAAAAGGCCTGATGGCTCTCCTGTGGTTAAGATATGCGATCTCGATCGAGCGGTTCCTGTTCGTTCTCACCTGCACACGTGCTGTATTGCACATGTTGGGGTGCCTCCGCCTGATGTTTGTGTGGGGACCCCTCGATGGATGGCTCCCGAGGTGTTTCGTGCAATGCATCAGCGGAATTTCTACGGCTTGGTAAGTTCTTATTTTGTTGTAATTTTTCCGAAAAACATTTACGGCGCGCTTGTATACAAATATATCCGCTTAAAACGGCTTTTTTTTATTTTTTTTATTTTTTCTGGCTTAATGAGTTCTTTTCACTGCATTTGCTCAAACAGGAAGTGGATATCTGGTCATTTGGTTGTGTGCTTCTGGAATTGCTGACTCTACAAGTCCCTTATGCTGATTTACCCGAACCCGAAATACACAATTTTCTACAGGTATATATTTTGTCTGTGCATTCTGGTTAATAACATGAAGTTTAGCATAACATGTGGACATCTGAATATCTCTTGTGATGTATTGTAAATGGAACATGAATTAACATCAGACAATTCCCTCAAGAGTATCAATATATTAATACCAGATTTCCATGGGTTTTTTTTTTCCTTAAAAATTTTGTCTTTTTTTTTTTGTTTTTTGTTTTTGTTTTCCCTACAAACGAGCAACGATCCTTAACATTCTTGATCTATGCAGAGGGGAGAACGGCCCAAACTGACGGACGAGCTGGAAGCATTGGCCCAATCTGATAGCAAGCTGGAGACTGAATCCGAAACCCTAAGATTTCTTGCTAAGTTGTACCATCAGTGTACAGAGAAGAATCCTGCTGATCGTCCATCAGCCAATAAAATCTATGATTTATTGGCTGAACGTGCAAGGTCTGTTGCAGGTTCTACAAGCTCAAAGCAAGAATAGTTCATTTTTTATTTTTTTTTCCTTTTTAACTTGTATCCCAGAATCTTGTAGCCTCTGGGAATTCAATAGGTTCGTTATTTGAGTCGTGTTCAAGTTATGGACCATCAGGCAATTTTATTGCTATCTAAGATAGAATTTGATTGGATTAACATTCATCATCTCACTAATTATCTGTATTAGTGGGAATGCAACAATTTGAATTATATCGATTTCATTTACAGACTGGGTTGGATTTTGACATATTTGCTTATTTTGTATTTGTACGTTTGTCGCGATTAAACTCTCATTTTCTTGAAATAGAAAGGTTTTGAAGTTTGATGGGATCATCAAAATTATGTATTGCTTCCATAATTGTGTGCTTGCACTGTTGCACTCTCAAATCCATGACTAACGTCCCAAGTTTTTTTATGATGAATCTATAGTAATATAAAAAGGTTGTTGGAAAAATACAAAAATAGTAAGATTGACCTAAAAAATAATGTTTTGACTTACTTATTTAAGTAATAATGAAAGGGACCCACACATTGATAAGATTTTAATATCAAAACTGTAATTCATGAATTGGAAGGCGAAGGCGAATTCGTCCAATTTTGTGGGATTTTGTTAAGAATTTCGTCCAATTTTTGTGGGATTTTTTTGTTCACAGTTTTCATACTCGAACATTCCTTACCATACTAATGTTTTCGGATTTTGTTATCAATATTTTAGCACGGATTCGCAAGTATTCCTTTTTATTTGTTATTTGTATCAATCTATAGAGATATGATATGATCTGATTTAAAAATAATTCTATTAACTTTGATTAGTTGGAATGTTGTTAACATATGAAATCAAATTTTGTGGGATTTCTTTTTGTTCAAAAATTTCATAAACGATATTTTCTTACCAAAGTTATCGGATTTTGGCAACCAATTCATGAACAATTATTCCTTTTTATTATCTTTTTGTACAAATCTCGATAGATATATCCGATTTATGTGGGATTTTGTAATTCCTTCACCAAAACTGTGCATATCAAAATCAATATCAATTTATGTGGGATTTATATGAATCATAACAATATCATAATTATCGGATAGTATCAATCAATTAAATAAATTAGTACATGACGTAAATATTTTTGGTATCCCTGTGAGTGCCACACCGTACATACAACCTCTTTAAAAGTTATTATAATTGGTATTTTTTTTATTTTTTTTTTGAAAATTTTCATTTATCCCTCCTTTGATCAATTTTGAATTTTAAACGAAGTCAATGTGTAAAATCTTTTAAGTTAATAAATCTATTGTGTCCATAATTATCTAACAATTCCTTATCAAAACATATCTAAACAAATTTTCTATCTTATTTGTTTTTTAACTTCCCAAATTTTCGTAACTTTTTTCCATTCCAACTCTATTTTTTTTCATACTTTTTTTTTTCTCTTTATTTAGTTGAGTTAATCAATCTGCATAGTCAAAGATTTCCTTGAAAGTTGATTAACTCAAATATTTCCTAATTATTTTGCCTTTTCTATATTAATCCGTATGATAATTTACTTTTTACTATATTTTATGATTTATTTTCTTTTCCAATATTTATCCTAAGTGGTTGTTCACTTCAATATGATTGATACTTTAATAATAAAGTATAAATTTCTTCCCTCAATTTAGGGCCAATCAGGTAAAAATTTCTGTAAATTGTATCCATTTAAACTATTATTAAATTATATTCTTTAAACCATCAAAATATATAAAATCAAATATTTATATTTATTTATTTCATATACTATTTACTAACAAATTAAAAGCCTCTACGCTATTTTTTGAAAATATGATTGAAATTATTAAAATTCAAAACTTGATATTTGGTAGAAAAATATTTCAATTTTGTTTGTTTTCAATTATATGTATTTTAGATATAGCACTATTTTTTAGCTAATATATTGTCTCTATCACTTTAGAATTAGTAAAATTTGATGTTGGACGACTAATTTTTATGGGAATAAGAGATACGTGTGATAAACTTTTATTATTTTTATATTTTAAAAATCTATCTATAAATTGATCTTTGTATAGCTTATAACATACGCCCTGAATTAAACTTAGTAGAATTTTCTAAGAAAAATTCACTATTTTTTAATCTAACGTTAAAATTGTGTAAGACTTATTAATCGTACTTACAATATAATATAATAGCTTTATTTAAAATAATGTAAAAAAATTGGAATTCTATAATGTGAAGTAAATTCATAGCTTTATTTTAAAATAATGTAAAAAATTGTAATTCTCTAATTCCGACTAATTTCATGAAATGATTATAGCATATTTCGCTATTATGAAATCTCACAGATATATTTTATTTTCATTTCAAATTTGATTTATTGATACGATGCACAAAATAATTATTCCATTTCGTATAGTCACTCTATATTTGAATGCAATTTAATGTTATGATTACAGTAATTTTCACCAAATATTGTAGTTATCAAGCATTATAAAATTTATCATGCCAACCAAAAGACTTAATCATCCACATGGCTTAAATGTCAACAAAATCACGTTGATTTGATAGTAACAAAATCACCAACTGACCAAAAACAACAAAATTATAAAATCTTGATGATCACTTTTATTTAAAGCTATATACCTGGATAGTCTATAATTATATAATATGGAGAGTGATTTACTTGAAATATTATTAAAATTCCCGTCTAAAATTTTCAAAGTTAATATTTTTAGTATTTTTTTTTTAAATGGCGGCTGAATGAAAATTCGAATTCAAATTTTAAAAAAAAAATTTGAGAAAAGATATAGTGTAAATTAACCTTAATTTTTAAAAATATGGGCAATTATTTCCTTAATGAGTAAATCTGACCCATAATAAGAAAGAATATTGAAATTCTTGCTCCCAAAAAAATCGATCAATTGTTTTCTTAAATTTTTCAGTCTAACGTGTGAATTAGGTTACAAAAATCCAGGCACTCATTTACCGAATAAAAGATTTGAAATTTTTTGAAATCTTTCCAAAAAGTCATACCAAATTAATTGTTAAATATTTTTTTATCCATGTTTATCTATCTACAAATCTCATATTTATTTAATAAAGAATGTTATTTTCAGTAATTAATTTTTATTATTTCAGATTGTTCAGCCAAATTGATGATTTTTTTGTCCATATTTATCTCAATACAAAATCTTTTAAAGTTTAGAATGAATCTCATATTATGTGGATTCTTGGTACCTATTTTTTTATACATATCATTTTTCATCTCATACTCAAATTACAAATGTTAATCCGAATCTTAAATATCTCATATTTATTAAATATATATATATATATATTTAATTTAAAAAGCATGACGATTCATGTAATTATTTTTATCATATATCATGTGTTGGATGTTATTGGTTTTGTTGGGGACACTCATTACATTCAAATAAATAATATATAATTTTTTATATTTTGAATTTATTTTGTTGCAATAATGAGATGTTAAATGTAAATAATTATTTTTAAAAAAAAATTAAGTAATAAGTTTGCCCGTGCATCGCACGGGATGCACACTAGTTACTATTAACATGATTTAAAATATTAAATTTGAATTAGAATGTGTGTTTTGATCGAGCACAATGGTGACTTGCGATCCATATAGCCGTTTTCATGTAGTGGGATTTTAATGGCTTGATTGATTGTCTGAATGAATGAATAATTGCTAACACAATACGCAATACAAAAATCTAGCATCTTATAATTCGTGATTAAAACAAAAGAAAAAGTGAAAAAAAGACATGGCAGTCTTTGTTGCAGCTAGAAAAGGGACAAATGTGGTTCTGTCACTCTTGTTCCAAATAATGCCCCTTATAACGACCCTATGATCCATATTTATGCATTTATGGGTTAAAATTTCTGTAGATAAATAAAAAAAAAAAAAAAAAAAAANAGTTTCAGTAATTAAAGGTTTTGGAGTAGAGGACCACTCTATACTACCAAGGACCACATAGTGAAGCAACACCACCTTATTAATATGTATTAAATTTCTCCTGAATATATACAATTAATTAGCTGCAGAAATTAGTATGCAAATCACGTGCCTGCAACTCTAAGGCAAAAAGTGTATAACAGCATGGGCAAATTTATTCTTTTAGTAATTTGCAAGTGCTGCATAAATATAATATTCTTATTTTATTTTATTACTTATTTATTGTTTGTGCTTCTAAATGTGTTAGTATGCATGGACGCTAGATGCATACAAAATGATGCACTTGCTTATATGTTCTCTCGTCTAAAGTACAGCCATGCTAGACTTGACCTAGGGATTAGAGTAATTAACGGGCATTATTAACTTATTAATTTCATTCTCTATTTATGAAATACAACTTATTAGAATATTCACTTGTGAGTTGTCCCGCATTGTTTATGTATGAAAAATATGTCTAATTTATAAGTATAATGGGCTATTCCTCCTACCACCAATTGGTTTTGAGATGAAACCCTATTTGGACTTGATCTGGGCTTTTCCTGTTTATGGTGCGCTTAATAGGGCCATAAATTTGAACGGGTAAATTTAATTATTTATTTTTTTTATTTTTTTATTTTTTTTTTCTTTGTACAAAGAGAGGTATGTGCTCACCACGATTAGAGACAAACAAATTGTGTTAGCCGGCATAATGGTGGGCTCATACCTTCCACTACAAGAATAGATGAAATTCCAATGGATGTTCCGATGCTATTATTTCCGTTGGAATTTTTCAATTGATTCCAACTGAAATTCCAACAAAATATTCTGTTGGAATGAGTTTTCAACAGTACATTTACCAACAGTTGAAATATGAGTGAAAATAAAAATTCTAACGAAAATTGTATATATTCTAACGAAAATTCCTACGGTAAAAATCCATTGGATAAATAGCCGTTGAAATGATCAAACTCCATCTAAATTCCAGTGAAACAACTCTTACTAACGGAATAATTCCGTTGGAATTTTGGTTAGAATCATTCCAGCGGAAGCTATACCATTGGAATTTTCATTGAAAAATATTACCGTAGAATTTTTCGTTGGATATGACATTTTTTTTGTAGTGTTCTTAACAAATTAAGAAACATACTATTATGAAATATCAATTTTTTTTTTTACCGTGGTGTTTTTGAAAGTGTGACATTTGAGTATGAAAATATATAAATCTGTCAAAAATGGATGCCCAATTATTAGGCAGCTTAACAACAACATTAATGATTCATATTGACATATTTACTACATAATTAATTGCAATTACGGGAATAATTGAATTATACGAACATGGTTACATTTTCACATACAAAGAAATCTATATCACAAGTAGTAC